ATACAGAGGCGGGACATGCAGAGGCCGTGTTCTCCAGGAGCATGAACAGAGAGGACAGGTCAGCGTCAGAGGATGTCAGTTCGGAGCTGCCCATGGAGAGCCACAGGTCCCTGGGAAGGGGGAGATCCAGGGAGTTGGAAGCGCCAGCAAAGAACACAAGGTGTGAGATGCTTTGATGTAGTTTCCAGAATGAATGAAGTGTTTCAACCCAGAGTGACTAAGGCAAGGGCAGTGGAGACCACAGGGAGCAAGGTAAAAGAGTTAAATTACTGTAAGGTAAAATTGCAAAGTAAATGTAAATTATTTCAATAATTTCTCAAGCAGAAAACTGTGAGTCTTGTGCAGAAATCCACACAAAGTTCCCACAGGGCAGCAGTGGGAGTCAAGATCACCAGGACCCACCTGAGCCGTGGTGTGCGGGTTTTTCAGGATCCAGCCAAGGAAGGAAAGTGTTGAGAGCAGCTTGTGGAGCCAGAACACCTGGCTTCATATCCTGTTTCTGCCACTTCCTAGCTGTGTCTTGAAAAGTTCTATGGAATCTCTGTGTCCCGTCTCCCGTAGCGGGGGTGAAATGATCTGCCCACTTCACAGAGTGGTGATCACACATCCAGTTTGCTCAGGACAGTCCTGGTTTACATTGTTATCATGGCATCCCACCCATTTCGGGTTCCCTTTCATTTCCAAAGTGCCCCTCATTTGCAATCAATAGTATGGTCATTCTGCTCATAGGATGATGGCTACGAGATTCAAAGGGCTTACAACAGTGCCTGTCATTTAGGAACTGGTGCAGAATTGTTTTTCATTCATATTTTATTGAACATTTCCTGAAAGTTGCTAAACAATTAGATCTTAAGTGTTCTTATCACCAAAAAAAAAAAAAAAAAAAAAAAGTATGTATGAGGTGATGGTATGCTAATTAGCCAGATTAATAATCATTTTTAGAATGTATATATATATCAAAACATATAAACCATAAATATAAATAATTTTTGTTTGTCAATTTACCTTAGTAAAGCTGGGTAAAATATTTTGGCCGGGCGCGGTGGCTCACGCCTGCAATCCCAGCACTTTGGGAGGCCGAGACGGGTGGATCACGAGGTCAGGAGATCGAGACCATCCTGGCTAATACCGTGAAACCCCGTCTCTACTAAAAATACAAAAAACTAGCCGGGCGACATGGCGGGCGCCTGTAATTACAGCTACTCGGGAGGCTGAGGCAGGAGAATGGCGTAAACCTGGGAGGTGGAGCTTGCAGTGAGCTGAGATCACGCCACTGCACTCCCAGCCTGGGTGACAGAGTGAGACTCTGTCTCAAAAAAAAAAAAAAAAAAAAAAAAAAAAAAATCAAAAAAAAAAAAAAAAAAAAAAAAAAAAAATTTAGCTTACATCTGAATAGTTACTCAAATATTTTAGAGAACGTCATGTGGAAGCCGAGGTTTCAGTGGTGTCGAACAGTCCTAGTGGTCCTTGGAGTTTACCATAAATACGTTTTTTTATTACTAAAGATAATGGCTACCAGCTGACATTTGGATAACCTGCTTTGTGCCAAGCACTGTTCTCAGGACTTTCCACGTTTTACTTCACTTGTGACTCACAGCAATTCTATGACTGTTCCCATTTTAAAGGGAACACAGAGCATTAAGTCTCCTGTCCAGTGGTGCAGTCAGCAAACGGAGGAGCTGGGATGTGAACACAAGTGGCGGTCAGGCTCTGAGTCCTCACTCACCACCCATCTGCCATCCAACCCTTACGAGAAAGGGCTGCAGAACCTGCAGAGACGGGACCCAGCAGTGCGGCACAGCAGCGCTCAGCAGAGCTGCAGCTTCCCAGGCACTCACTTCCCGGAGTCTTGGGAATGGCCAGCTGGGATGGGACTGCCCCATGGGATAAGGGATTTTATCCTTTCCTGACCTTTTAGTCATCTGACTCCTCTGGGAGTCACCTCCCCCATCTTCTGAATTTATCCACCTTTAACCTACCTGCTCCCTACCCACAGCCTCCCCTCACTCTCTGAGCCAGAGGACATTTCTCCCACTTCAGGGAAGGCACTGTCTCCCTCCTCTGGCCTTCCAGAGCCCTTCGTCCATCTCTCTCTGCACCTCTCCTTTCCCATCCGAGCTTATAGTCTCCTGTGTGTGTCTCCCCAGGCCTCTCAGAGGTACAAAGGGTCACAGTTCTCCTCTGACAATTGAGGGAGTGTGAAAAACGCGCCACTGTCGCGTGCATCTTGGGCATGTATGTAAGGGGAAGGGGTTCTTCCTTGGTTGCTGTAGACTCCCCATGGAAGCTACAGCCTCTCCTTTCCTCAGCCCCATTTCAGAAAGAAGAGGCCAGAAAGCGTTTCTGATGTGTGTGGCCCCTTTAGAGGATTCACACTGTTCCCTTCACTCAATCCCAACCCCGTGTCACCAGATGTATTCACCCCCACACAGGGGAAGGTCAGTCTTTGCAAGCTTCTGACACATTTTGGGACACTGAGCTGGAATATGGGAGTGCTGGGGTGGACTGAACACTGAGCAACTCAGACTTGGAATCCCAGCATGAGGCTCGGGCCAACGCGAGGGAGGCGCCGGGTCTAGACGAGGTCTTGGTGACTTGAACAACAGGCGTATTGCCGCCAACCAAGATGGCTCCAAGAGGCCTTTCCTGAAGTTCTGTTCTGGGTAAGCAGGTGACTGACAGGGCAGGGCCATAAGGACTGGGGCACAAGGCAAAGCCCCCGTAAGTACTGGCCGAGGAGACAGTCTCACATTTCATGATCAAGGTCCTTCACTCCCCTTGGGAAATAAGGCCACCAACCAGGGTTAGCTGTGTACAGTGGTAAGTAAACGACACTTCTCCTTTCTGTCCTCCCCCAAATTAGGTTTGTTCTTGACCACTGAGGCTCCACCTGAATGGTGGAAAGAAACATATCACAAGTAATCCAGAGAGTAAACAATGCATTCACAGGGAATTAAGAATGGATTCATCCTTCTGGCTGTTTCATCTACTTCTTTTTTTTTTTTTTTTTTTTTTACCTGAGCCAACTATGTTTTTCTTGTTCCTATGACCTTCACTGTGACCCTAATTAAACAGGGGTGGGGTTTCTATCATGTGAGGCTGTCCCGTCCTTCTCCTGATTCTATGTGGCCATATTCCTTCCCTCCCTTACCTTGCCAGATGCTATCTGTCCTCAAGCTTCTGTACTTGCAGTTCCCTCTCCCTGAAATGCTCTTCCCCAGATGTGTCCCCGGACATCACCATCCACTCATCCAAGTCTCAGCTGAAACAGCACCTGCTCTACAGGCTGCCTTGGGGGACTTACAGGCCACTGACCCTGGGCAGGCCATCTATGACAGCGTTCAGCTGTTGTGAATATTTTGCTGTTCTTTGCAGCAGTGACCACTTTCTCATAGCTCTAACGTGTCTTATCTTTAGTCTTGTTCTTTGTGTCCTTCATTAGAAAATAAGGCCCACAGGAGCAAGCACCTGGTCTAACCTGTTTCTAGAACTGAATCTAGCGCAGGGCCCAGCTCACAGGAGAAGCTGTGATGAAGCAACAGTGATGTGGATAACAAGGGATCTATGCATGAATGCAACTGCCGTTTATTCAGAATTATCTTGTGCTTGGCCATGTGATTAAAAATTTACAGACTGTTGGCCGGGAGAGGTGGCTCACAACTGTAACCCAGTACTTTGGGAGGCCAAGGCGGGTGGATCACAAGGTCAGGAGTTTGAGACCAGCCTAGCGAACATGGTGAAACCTCGTCTCTACTAAAAATAGAAAAAAATAAATAAATAAAAATTAGCTGGGTGTGGTGGTGCACACCTGTAATCCCAGCTACTCAGGAGGCTGAGGCAGGAGAATCACTTACCTGGGAAGTCTAAGGTTGCAGTAAGCTGAGATCACGCCACTGCACTCCAGCCTGGGCAATAAGAGTAAGACTCCATCTCAAAAAAAAAAAATTTACAGAGCGTCTATCATCATTACAAAAATTCAGCATCATGGCTGGGCATGGTGGCTCACACCTGTAATCCTAGCACTTTGGGAGGGTGGGATTTGGGTGGGTGGATCACCTGAGGTCAGGAGTTCGAGACCAGCCTGGCCAACATGGAGAAACCCCATCTCTACTAAAAATATGAAAATTATCCAGGCGTCGCACCACATGCCTGTAATCCCAGCTACTCAGAAGGCTGAGGTAGGAGAATCGCTTGAACTTGGGAGACAGAGGTTGCAGTGCGCCAAGATCGTGCCATTGAACTCCAGCCTGGGGCGAGACTCCATCACAAAAAAAAAAAAAAAAAAAAAATTCAGCATCACTTATACCCATTTAGTAAAGAGAGAAAGGAAGCCCAGAGGGACCAGCGTTGTAACTTGCCTAAAGACATAGCATGACTACATGTGGCCTCCGGGATCCACACTCACACCTGCCCAAATCTCATCACCTAAATCCCATCATCGACCAACCCCATTGCCACCCACTGCCCAGCACTGCCTACCCAAGCAGTCAGCTACTCCACTCACTCCCAGCATCCTCTCAACCAGGGGAAGGAAAACCATAAAAGACTAACAAAGAACTAAGCACGAATTAAATTATAAATATATTGTAAAATAAATAGTGTTGTAATTCTTAACAAGAATAACAAGAAGCTTTCAGTTGAGGTTATATATTAATGTTTTTCCCAAAACTTAAAGCACTTTTCTGGGCTGGGCACGGTGGCTCACGTCTGTAATCCCAGCACTTTGGGAGGCTGTGGGGGGCAGATCACCTGAGGTCAGGAATTCAAGACCAGCCTGGCTAAAATGGTGAAACCCCGTCTCTACTAAAAACACAAAGATTATCCGGGTGTCCTGGCACACGCCTGTAATCCCAGCTACCCAGGAGGCTGAGGCAGGAGAATCGCTGGAACCCGGGAGGCGGAAGCTTCAGTGAGCTGAGATCGCGTCACTGCACTCCAGCCTGGACAACAGAACAAGACTCTGTCTCAAAACAACAACAACACTCCAAAAAACAAAACAAAAAAACCCCCACTTTTCTGAAAAAGAAATGTCTATGGATTAGGAAGGTCTGCCTCCCAGAGGAAGATGCAGGTAGCCCAAATATTTGATGATTCCAGGACGGGCAGATATACAAGTTATGAAACTGTTTGTACCTTGAAGAATAAGGAGAAGAAGAGGAAAAGACAAAGAGGAGTAGGAGAAAAAGAATAGAAGGAGGAGGAGGAAGAAGGGAAAGAGGACTAGAAGAAAACTACAATAATAACAACAGTGTTGAGAGCACAAGATCACACCATTGGGTTTTGCTTTATATTGTGGAAAACACTGTTGCATCCATTTTACTAAAAGCCGTGTGTCATTATTGTAGTCCCCAAATTGTCAGGGATCCAAATATTACTGCCTTCTTGGTTTCTACAAACAGGGCACAGGCTGGCTGGGCTCCCCTTGGGGCACACTATTGTGTCCTGGTCCTACGCCAGGCTGACACTTTGCTTCATTCCTGGGAGGGACTAAGGTGTCTCCCTGGGGAATAAATAGAGCAGGGCTGGGTGCTCACCTCCACAGCAGCTTCCTTGATCCCTGCCACGCACGACTGAACACAGACAGCAGCCGCCTCGCCATGAAGCTGCTAATGATCCTCATGCTGGCGACTCTCGCTCTGCACTGCTATGCAGGTGAGTTCTGGGCGGAGACGGCTGCTTCTGGGCTAGGAGTTGTCATTCTGGGCCCCTGTAGAAGAACTCGCAGCCCTTAATCCCCAGCACAGATGAACCCCAGTGTGAAGGGCCTGGGTGTGGTAGGCCTTAGGATCCCTGTGAGTTCCTGATTATCAAGCGGGCAGTGCCCTCGTGGGCTGTCCCCTGCATTGGAGCTGCACGTGGCATATCATGGCACTCGGGGTCTCACCATGATCACGGCGACCATAGAAACCAGGATGAGTCTCAGGATTGAATATTGAAATTAACAATTTCAGTGGGGCAAGGGAGAGATGGCGTCTGCACTTAGAAACCACGAAATAATCGTGGGTCTCCTTGAATGTGGAACGAAATAGGAAACCTCCCAGGACAGAAGGGCCAGGCTGCAGAGTGTGACCCAGTTTCTCTCACCCTGTGTGGCTCACTCTATGTTCTCAGAGTTGATCTGGGTCCTTCTGGGATGCCCTTTCCCTCCCAGTTGCTTCAGGCTCAAGGCAGACCGGTGAGGAGAACTCACCCCCCATGGAGTCTCCTTCCAGCACTGAAGATCCAGTGGGAGGCAAAAGCCCCGGCGGCTGGAATCAGCACTAGTAGTTCCATAGGTAGCCTGCCTTGTGCAATTCACAAAGGCGGATTCCAAACCCTACCGTATTGGTGTCCAAGGTAGATGCAGACGCGTAGAAGGGTGACAAGCTCACAGTCAACAAACTAGAAAATCACAAAGTCCAGAGCACAACCAGCTCACATGAAGCCAAGTCCTGAGCTCTTTCCTCTCCCTTACAGTGGGGGGTGACCTCAGATCCCTTCATAGACAAGTTCTATTTCCCATTCATGTGTGTGTGTGTGTTTGAGACAGGGTCTTGCTGTGTCACCCAGGCTGGGACTGGGACTGGTGTGCAATGGCACGGTCTCAGCTCACTGCAACCTCTTCCTCCCAGGCACAAGTAATGCTTCTGTCTCAGCCTCCCAAGTAGCTGGGACTACAGGTGGGCACCACGATGCCTGGCTAATTTTTAATTTTTTTGTAGAGATGAGGTCTCCCTATGTTGTCCAGGCTGGTCTTGAACTCCTGAGCTCAAGCAATTTGCCTACCTTGGCCTCCCTAAGTGCTGGGATTACAGGTGTGAGCCACCATGCCTGGTCACACATTCCCTTTTATTGCAGTAGAGTCAACAGAACTAATGGACAATGTCCTAGACCCATTAATCTGAAATCCTTGGAAACCCTCGCTGATGCTGGGCATGATAACAGGGAAGCATTGCATGACTTTGAACCAAGAAAGCCCAAGTGATGTTTGCTGTGTGCCCCCAGTCAGAGCACCTCATTTCTCGAGGGTCCTCTTCAGCAAGGACACACGGGGTTGGGCTTCTCTGGGTTTGGGAGGTTGGAGAGAATTTGCAGAGCCTATGTTTATGCTCTCAGAATTGAGAACTCTACATCCTGCACAAAAATCTTTCTGAACCTCGGTCTGTCCCTGGAGGTACGAAGACAGCCGGCTTTCCCAATTCATCCGTAAAATGAGCTCACACCTCTGGTAATGGCCCATGTTCTTGTGTCTTTTATTTTATTTTTTCCAGATTCTGGCTGCAAACTCCTGGAGGATGTGGTTGAAAAGACCATCAATTCTGACATATCTATACCTGAGTACAAAGAGCTTCTTCAAGAATTCACAGACAGCGAGGCCGCCGCAGAGGCTATGGGGAAGTTCAAGCAGTGCTTCCTCAGCCAGTCACACAGAACTCTGAAAAACTTCGGACTGATGATGGTAATTTTGGCTTCTTCTTAGGTACCCTTTGAAAATCACCGATCAGAACCAGCGGGCTCTAAACTTTATATATCAATTCATTAAACTGTGTCTCCAGGCTGCTTTGCCACTTCACACTGAGAATCTTTAGGGAGTGATCAATGGAAAAGGCAAAAGGGAGAAAAGCAAGACCTAGAGATCACCCATCTACCTCTGACCTCACCAGTCCATTCTCACACAGACACAGACACACATAAGCACACAAGTATAGACACACAGACACACAGCAACAGGCATCTGCATTTTTTTTTTTTTTTTTTGAGACGGAGTTTCGCTCTGTCACCCAGGGTGGAGTGTAGTGGCACGAATCTCAGCTCACTGCAACCTCCACCTCCCGGGTTCAAGTGAATTGCCTGCCTCCGCCTCCCAAGTATTTGGGATTACAGGTGTGCACCACCATGCCCGGCTAATTTTTGTATTTTTACTAGAGACGGAGTTTTGCCATGTTGGCAAGGCTGGTCTCAAACTCCTGACTTCAAGTGACCTACCTCCCTTGGCCTTCCAAAATTCTGGAATTACAGGTGTGAGCCACCGCGCCCAGCCAGACACATGCACATTTTTATTAAGAGAAAAAATTTGGTTCTCAAGGAGTCACACACTTGTAGGAGCAACCTACTAAGACATTTCCTAGTTTCACAAAACAAATATTAAAAACATTCTTATTATTTTTTATCTAGCTCAGAAAATACAATTTGTGCAAATTCTGCGTTTTCTAAAATAAAGAAAAAGAATTTTTTTGAGATGGAGTTTCACTCCGTTGCCCAGGCTGGAGTGTAGTGGCATGATCTTCGTTCACTGCAAACTCTGCCTCCTGGGATCAAGCAATTCTTGTGCCTCAGACTCTTGAGTAGCTGGGACTACAGGCACGTACCATCCCCATGCCCAGCTAATTTTTGTATTTTTAGTAGAGATGGGGTTTCACCATGTTGACCAGGCTGGTCTTGAACTCCTGGCCTCAGGTGATCTGCCCGCCTCGGCCTCCCAAAGTGCTGGGATTACAGGTGTGAGCCATCCCTCCTGGCCTAAAATAAAGAATTTAAAATGCAAGTCCAAGCAACCAAGATTTGTTAGCATACGTGACTGGAAATCATGCACCACTTAATTAAGTGCCTCATGAAGTGGGAAGTGCAGATCACGGGTGTGAAACAGCACGAGTGCTAGAATTCTTTACAACAAAGTCAATGGTTATAACATTGAGTGTTTCTGTTTATAAAGATGTGTTGGCTATGAGGTTTTTTTTTTTTTTTTGAGACAGAGTTTAGCTCTTGTTGCTCAGGCTAGAGTGTAATGGCACAATCTCGGCTCACTGCAACCTCCGCCTCCTGGGTTCAAGTGATTCTCCAGCCTCAGCCTTCAGAGTAGCCGGGATTACTGGCACACGCCACCACACCCAGCTGATTTTAAGTAGAGATGGAGTTTCACCATGTTGGCTAGGCTGGTCTCAAACTCCTGACCTCAGGTGATCTGCCCGCTTCAGCCTCCCAAAGTGCTGGGATTATGTTTTTTTTTTTTTTTTTTAAAGAATTTATTTAATACCCCAAAATTTTATTAAACATTCCATAATAGAAAATTTAGAGATATATCAAATGCTCAAGGATAAAAGTAAATATTAACTGCAATTTGGGATGGTTGAATCATTTTTTTCTTTAAAAACTCAGATTAGCCAGGTGCGGTCCCTCATACCTGTAATCCCAGCACTTTGGGAGGCCAAGGTGGGCGGATCACTTGAGGTCAGGAGTTCAAGACCAGCCTGGCCAACATGTTGAAACCCTATCTCTACTACAAATACAAAAATTAGCCAGGCGTGGTTGCGCACACCTGTAATTCCAGCTACTTGGGTGGCTGAGGCAGGAGAATTGCTTGAACCCGGGAGGCAGAGGTTGCTGTGGGCAAAGATAGTGCCACTGCACTCCAGCCTGGGCAGCAGAGAGAGACTCCATCTCAAAAAACAAACAAACAAACAAACAAACAAAAAACCCAAACAAACCAAAAAACCCCTCAGATTAATCATTTATATTGTAAAACTCCAATGTTTCTTGTTTCCATTTTTTTGTTTTGTTTTGTTTTGTTTATTGAGACAGAGTCTTGCTCTTTTGCCCAGGCTGGAGTGCAATGGTACAATTACAGCTCACTGCAGCCTCCATCTCCTGGGCTCAAGTGATCCTCCCACATCAGCCTCCTGAGTAGCTGCAACTACAGGTGCACACTAGCACACCTGGCATGCATATATATATATATATATATATATATATATATATTTTGGAGGGATGGGATTTTGTCATATTGCCCAGGCTGGTTTAAACTCCTGGGGTCAAGCAATCTGCCCACCTTGGCTTCCCAAAGTGCTGGGATTACAGGCATGAGCCATCGCACCCAGCCCAGCTCCAATATTTCATAGACCTCAAAGGTAGTGGTGAAGAGTCTCAGACTGTTACAACATTTCCACCTTTTATGCCTGTACAGTAACTCAAAACCATCACATTCTTGTATTTGAGCTGAGATTTTTTTTTAACAATTCTATGTGGTAAAAGTGGTATCAGAAACAGTCCAAATGATCAGGTCTTCAACAAATAGTATGTGCAGCATATTTATTGGAAAAGTTATTTCAAGGAATATAATTTTTGGAGAAAAAGAGTATTACATGGATCCCTGGTAGGGAAGAGGTCCTACAACCCCGGCCCCTGTTTGGTGTTATGAAATGTCTCCTAGAGGACAGAATAAATGGAGAGGGGATGCTGGCTTTTCTTCCACTGCAAATTTTCCTGGGAGTTAGCTGTTTGTGGACAAACGCAAGAAAACAAGAAGGCAAGTTATCATATTTGACTTAGTAAGTGAAATTTGCAAACCTAAGTGATCTGTTTTTGTTTTCCAGCATACAATGTACGACAGTATTTGGTGTAATTAAGAGTAATTAACTTTACACAAGGCGTTTGGCTCAGAGGACTACAGACTATGGCCAGAACTCATCTGTTGATTGCTAGAAGCCACTTTTCTTTCTTGTGTTGTCTTTTTATATGTGGAAACTGCTGGACAATTGTTGAAACCTCAAATTCATTTCCATTTCAATAAACTAACTGCAAATCACTAAAATTATTTCTTGTTCTTCTATTAAAAAAAAAAAAAAAAAAAAAGAGGCTTTCCAGGCTGCACAGGCAGGCTGTAGGTTGCAAACAGAAACAAGCCTCGAAGGAGCTGGGTGAGGGTCCGAGGTTTCTGGGAAATGCTTGAGTTCTCATCATCTCCAGCCCAAGAGTTGGACTTCTCTCTCTCCGAAGAAAAAAAGCATTAGCTCTTGTTGCCTAATTTTTCTCTGAAGAGTGTTTCACGCTCCACATCCCACTACCTCCCTCAGCCACTTTCTCGGGAAACCTCACACTCTTGGGGTCGTGCTCAGAAGCCCTGATTTTACCCCAGTCCCATCCATGCTGAGCCCTGCTGGTTATGCCAGGCTCCTCTGGGTTGTCTCTGGGCCTCCCCCAGGTGTGCAGGGCCCAGACCAGAGCCAGTCGGGGGGGGAGGAGTGCAAAGCAAGGTGGATCCTGTCTGAATTTTAAATTTTGATTTTGATTTGTCATGCATGGATGTTGGCGTTAATGTTCAACTTTTAAAGTATTGCATGAAAATATTACTTACCCTGATGACTGAGTTTTCTAGCATAACAACACCTTAAATAATGCAATGTTCCCCCGTCCAGTCTCTGCCAGTGGGTTCATCCTCCCCTGCCCCACAGTGAGCTGCAAAGGCCATGAGGGTTGAGGGGAGTGAGTGTGATGTGCAGGGACCCAGCACAGCAGAGGGTTTTTAAATGGAAACTAGGGTCTCGTTCATGTTCTGTCCCCTGTATTCCTGTCATCAGGGTTAGGTTATTACTACCTCTTCTGCTGTCACTTCAGCCTGTCCCTCTTCTTAGTGGGGCCATCCCCTCACCCAGGAAGACCCTGTCTGTTTCTCAGGACAACTCAGTTCCACCAGGGATGACTCTTCCCTTCAGCAAGGCAGGTGCAGGGATCCAGGCCCACAACAGGGGTCCATAATAATGTTATAATTTTAAAAAAAAAAAAACCACATTTCTTAAAGTGAGTACATATCAATGAATCTAGCCAAGGATATATTCACCATCTTAGCAATGCAGTTGTAAAGTACAAAGTCTAATATGTTTCTATGCAGAAGTGGCCTATGAAGGCAATAACACCTGTGACCTACAAAAGTCATAGTGAGGCCTTGCACCCAGGACTGTTCCCAAACCACAGCCCAACTTGTTTTGCTTCACACCCTAAAAGTCCGGAAAAGGGAAAAGAGATTCAGAGCTAGGAACTGGAAGATGTGCACATGGGCACTCACTTAGAAACTGCAAATCTGTTCAGTGAAGGCCCTGGCCCATTTGATGAAGTGGTGAAATACATTCTAGAAAGGAAACAAGCTCCAATGGAAGGGACCACTCCAGAATGCCCATGCCACATGGGGAGCATCGCACAATGAAAAACAGGTTTGCTCTGGTGGCCAAGCCTGTGACTCAGCGTCTCAGACCCATATAACTGACAGAGGAAACTACCCTAGGGAAGGACGTAGAACTAAAAGCTTCTGAAATGGCCCAGGAAGAGAATGTTTATAAGAAACACCTTGAGGTAGCATAAGAGTGATGAGAAAGTATGAGTCGGGTCCTTGAGGCATAGGGTGCTCACACCCAGCACTTCCTGAAGACCCCTGTGAAGCTCGTTACTTTTTGCCCCAGTGTCCTAGCTCAGTGGGGGATATAGGTCTCCAAGGTGGCTACACTGGGGAAAAAGACGTCTACAGATAGCTTAGATCAAGCATCCAGGGTGTCTTATGACAATGACAGGAAAGCTCATTTTGGTCAAGACTCAAACAATGAAAAAACACACATTCAGAGTAATGCTCACGGTCATGCCTGATGGAGAAGATCATCTCTGTATATCAGTTCAGGGGAGCACAGAGCCCACTGAAGAATTCCTCAGTGGGATGGAATTTACCTGCTTCAGGCAGGGATGGATGCTGTGGCCTCGAGGTGGAAGTGGATAAAGAGGTATGAAGACTGAGGACTACTGCTGTGCCCATCGAAAGAGACACTGACTGTAACGGCTCCAGCCCCAGCGCTGACTGTGTGGAGAGTTCCAGGGGAAGCAGGGACACAGACGTGGTGACCAGCCAGGGCCTGACCACAGCTTCGGGGCCTGGATGTGGTGGTCTATTGATCACTGAATGACACTACGGGGGCCCAGGACTGCAACTGGCTGGGGTTGCACCACCAGCCTTTAGAGGTTTATAATAACTGAGGTCATAGAAACTATGTTCTGCGACCATAATTGAGTCCAATTAAAATAAAAAACAGAATTACAAGAAATTCTCCAATCACTTGGAAATTCAACACTCTACTACTAAATGATCAATGGGTGATTAAATACTTTTCGAAAATTTTGTGAAAGTGTGTGTCCAGCCCTGGGCTGCGAGGTTTAGGCAGGGACAATGGATGAACCCTTCTCTACTCTGGCCTCTTGCTGGGACAGTTGGGGCACAATGCTCTTTCACTTCCTAGATGGCCTCTGATTTGTTGAGAGCATTAGGGTCTGTGTAGCACAGCATTAATCTCTTAGATTAGGAGGACGTCTGGGATGACAGCATCTTCCTCTATTTACATTTTTTTCTTACAGACAACTAGGGACGCATCAGGATGCCTGGGATCACTGCACTCTGTGACCACCTCCATCCCATTTGCACTCGGCTATAGTACCTTACAAGGGTCTGTCTGCTATTTCATTTTTATCCTAGGTTTGTCTCCTTACAAAGTGAAGGGTTTAGAATTGAAGGATTCATAGGCAGACTTGGACTGCAACCTCAGTTGCCCTAAAACATAAACATGTTGGCTGTCAATCCTATCTGCAGGATTGCAACTGCTATCTGAGGACAGCAAGCCCAAAATGTGTGGTCCTCTCCCTATGCCTGTGTCCTGGCTAGATCTAGGCCAAGATATTTTTTATGCTCTTGGCAGCTCCCCCATATTTTCTCCAGATATCTCTTACCTTCAGCCAGATGCTTGTCAAATTTTCCAGCCTGCAACTAACAGGGGCCCAATGTGGCATTGATGATGCTTTTTCTGTGTTTTCTGTCTGCCTTACTTTCTTCTTTTGCACTGACTGAGTTGTATTTAATTTCATTTCCCTTTGCCAGTCTGAAAGTTACACATGCTCTTGATATTTTGATGTAGGGTCCAGCCCCACAGGGTTGGTGGGTTTTTCTTCCTGTGTGCGGAGATGAGAGATTGTAGAAATAAAGACACAAGACAAAGAGATAAAAGAAAAGACAGCTGGGCCCGGGGGGACCACTATCACCAAGACGCAGAGACAGGTAGTGGCCCCGAATGCCAGGCTGCACTGATATTTATTGGATACAAGACAAAGGGGCAGGGTAAGGAGTATGAGCCATCTCCAATGATAGGTAAGGTCACATGTGTCAATCACGTGGGTCACGTGTCCACTGGACAGGGAGTTCTTCCCTGCCTGGCAGCCGAGGCAGAGAGAAAGGGAGGAGAAAGAGAGAAACAGCCTAAGCCATTGTTTCTGCATATCAGAGACTTTTAGTACTTTCACTAATTTGCTACCACTATCTAAAAGGCTGAGCCAGGTGTACAGGAGGGAACATGAAGGCGGACTAGGAGAGTGACCACTGAAGCACAGCCTCACAGAGAGATGGTTAGGCCTCCGGATAACTGCCGGTGGGCCTTACTGATGTCAGGCCTTCCACAAGAGGTGGAGGAGTAGAGTCTTCTCTAAACTCTCCCAGGGAGAGGGAGACTCCCTTTCCTGGTCTGCTAAGTAGCGAGAGTTTTCCCTTGACACTGACGCTACTGCTCCGCTAGACCACGGTCCACTTGGCAACAGGCGTCTTCCCAGACGTTGGTGTTACTGCTAGACCAAGGAGCCCTCTAGTGGCCCTGTCGGGGCGTGACAGAGGACTCGCCCTCTTGTCTTCTGGTCACTCCTATGTCCCTTCAATTCCCATCTCTGTATGGCCTGACTTTTCCTAGGTTATGATTATAGAGCGAGGATTATAATAATATTGGAATAAAGAGTAATTGCTACAAACTAATGATTAATGATATTCATATATAATCATATCTATTATCTATATCTAGTATAAGTCTTCTTATTTGATATATTTTATTATACTGGAACAACGCATGCCCTCGATCTCTTGCCTCCACACCTGGGTGACTTGCTGCCCACATTTTGATGCATATGTAACATTTTTATTTTCTCTTTTAGAAAATCTTGACAACAAGTACTGATTATTTTAATACTGCTCTACAAGTTATGATTTCTTCTGTCATTATTGTCTTATTTTAGACACCTCCATTATATGAAATCTATATAGAATTTCTATATGAAATCTGCATAGAAATAAGACTAGGGGAAACTGAAGTACGGACATGCGCTGGAGGATAAAACCTTAGATAGAGGAGCTATTTCTGGTAAAGAGAAAATGAGGTTTAGGATAGAACATGGATAATTATTGAGACTTACCACAGGAAAGGATGAGAGCAGAAATCTCAGATAAAGACAGCGACCTCATTCCAGTTTCTTCTGTCCTTCCTCAACTTGGGATTTTTCACCACAAAGGATGGGTAAAATTGGATCACTGGATTTCTTTAGGTGCATGAAGTCAGAAGGTCAGGTGATCAGGCTGAATGAGACAGCATCACAATCTATTATGTAGTGTCAACTACGAAAGGAAACATGTTAGCAAAATACCTGATGTATTGGTAAATAGTGCTGACCGCATGCTTTTGAAGCTGTCAGGGTATTTATCCAGAGAATGTAAAACCTTAAGGTCTTACAGTTCTGTGATTCATTAACTTTTCTCTAACTGGCATTCAGTGTGAAAAATAGTCAGTGTGAAACATAGACTGTGGGGATGGTCAAGAAGAGGTGTGAGGACCTGGTCCAGGTCTCTGCCACCAAGTTCTCCATCTGGGATTCCTTTATGTGGAAGAGGAGGTACAAATTGAGGACCACGGTGACCACCTGATAAATGTATGGCCAAAGTACTTGGACACTAGGATCTTGATTGATCCT